ACTTTATCAAGAAATATATTTGAATTATAAAGTTACTATTTAAGTTTATTCAAAAGAATTAATCTTTTAAATAAAATAAAATCTATTAATATATCTTTTATCAGATGAAGAGAGTTCTGTTTGAAGTTTTAGTACTCTGTCATTATAATTTAAATTAAAAGACTTGTGTAAAGATAAATATTTCAGATAATATTATAGCTGATGTTCTATTTCAGCTATATAAAAATGAGTAATAATATTCAATTATTTTCTATTTAACTTCTATAAATAAAGTAGATAGAAATTATAAAATTTATAATAAAAAGATGCTGATAATTGTAAAAGTATTAATAGAATGATATGCTAAGCTGAAAGATCTTCAAAGAATAAAGAGATTTAAGATTTTAATAGATTATTAAACTTTTGAATACTTTATAACAACTAAGAATTTCAATGTTTGATAAATATATTAAATAGAGTTTTTCTTCTGATTTTACTTTCTAATTCAGTATTGATTTGAGTGTTAGAATACACTAGTAGATATACTAAATCAGCTAAAGATTTAGAGAGATGATAAAAGTATTTAAATATAATTATTTCTCAAATCAAAGAAATTAAACTTAAAAATTATTAAGAAATTTATTGAGGTTAAAACTTTAAACATAGAAATATATATTCTTGATAAAGTCAAGATGAGAAACAGAGAGATGAGATTACTAAAATTATAATATAAAAAAGTATAATAGAAAAAATAGTTCTAAGAGTTGATAAATAAACTTTTATATTTTGAAGAGTATTTAGTGATATCAATTGAGAAAAATTCTATTCTTTAGATGTGCCTTTTAAAAAAAATTTATGAATAGTTATTAATAATATATTTTGAGAAAAAAAAGCTATACTTATTAGTGAGGGTAAAATACTACTGAAGTAATTGAATCAAAAATATTAATCAATATATGAATAATTATCTGATGTGCTAATGAATAAAAATCTCTTATGATAAAATCTTAAAGCTGCTGAAGCTGCTATCAATCTCTAGTAAAATCTAGTAGCATATATTAATAAACTTTATAAATAATTCTATGACAAAAAGAAATCATGATATGATATTAATGATTATATATTAACTGAGCAAAAAACTTATATCTATTTTTATTATAATAAAAACTGATATTAAAGAACTGATAAGACTATTCTTAGAGTACTACTATAGATATTATGAAGTATTCGATTTAATTATATTAGACTAAGAATTACAATTTATCTCAGACTTCTGAAATAAATTTATTAGATAATTGAGAGTTAAGCTGAAGCTTTCATCAGCTCATTATATATAAATAGATAATCAGACTGAGATTATCAATCAATATTTAATAATCAAGCTTTATTAATATATAAACTACTATTAAAACAACTGAAATAATACTTTTTTTAACTATTTATAGATATAAATCTCAAATATTCTTTGATTGAAAGTTACTACTAAGAATATTATTTATAAAAAAAAAAGCTTAAAAAAAGATACTCAACAGTATATTATTCAAATAAAAAAAATCTGAAAGCTAGCATCTGATAATGTAAAAAAGATATAAGAGATCATGAAATTATATATCAACAAAAACTACTGAAAGTCAAACTTTGAAATAAAAGATAATATCTTTTTGTCACTCAAAAACTACAGAATTCAACATCTCAGCAAAAACCTTATAAAGTAAAATAAAAACTTTTTTAAAATTATTGAAAGAGTTAATAATAACTATAGATTAAAATTATTATATAATAAGAAAATTCTTTTAATATTCTTCTCTGATAAGTTATAAAAAGCTATAAATAACTTTCTATCAAAATAATTAAATAAGATATTAGAACTGTGAAGGATAGATTGCTTGATTGATTATGAAGTAATCATTAGCTACACGGAAGTTATATATAGTGTGGATTATAGAAGGCAAATAGGTCTGACATTCTCAATCATCAACGTAACTGTATACAAGATTATATACAAAAAACAGACGTAGCTAGGTATCAGTACATAATTTGACTGAAAAACCTATATTATTGAAAAATCAGTCATTTTCTTCATATAATCATTTCTGCCTGCTTACTGTATCTTCTAATATCTGCTGTCATAGAGTGTATTTAGTTGCTTCAAGCAGCTTAGTCAGCCTGTCTGCTGCATTCTCAGCGGATGGGATGTAATCAATTGAGATCTCATTCTTGCAGACAAGATCTCAAAGAGTATAGAAGTGGACCTCTATATGCTTAGATTAACGCAGAATAGCCTCACTTTTGATCAGTTCAATCACTAATTTATTATCCACCTGAATCATATATACTAGCTTATTAGCTGGTAATTTGATCAGGTTATTATTATCATTAAGATTATTGAGCTGAGATAGCATAAAGTCAGTATCCTTCAGCAATTTTTGAAGGCAGACAAGCTCATAGGCAGCCTCTGAGAATGTGATATATTCAGCCTCAGTAGATGATTTTGACATGCCTATCTACTTGCTGCTTTGTTAAGCAATGAGACCTCCTGTCATATAAATGACATATTTAGTGGTGGAGTGAGAACCTGGATCACAGCTTGCCCAATCAGCATCAGTGAACATCATAGGTTCTCTATCTGCATCTTTTTAGTAGAATATACCTATATCAGGTATGTTTTGTAGATATTTAAGAATTCACTTGAATGCCACTCAATTCTTAGAGATAGCATGAGAGCTAAATTTTTCTAGAAAGTCAGCAGTGAAACTTATATCAGAGTGTGTATTGACAGCAAGATATTGCAGAGAGCTAACCTCTGATTAATAGAAATATAATATAAATTCTACTGTATAAGCAATCAGTTCTTTGTTATCACTTATAAAATCAATATTTTCCTTTATAAAGAAGGATATTAAGTGATAGTCATTTATTGAGAATTTCTCAAGCAGGTTCTTTATGAACAGTGACTGGGATAGTGATAATGATTCAGCATCCAGATCAATCTTTATACTCAAATACCAGTTTGATTTATTTACATCCTTGATCTCATAATTAGTGGTGATCTGAACTTTTATCTATTTAATATCTGATATATTCAGACTATATAGGTGAATATCATCTATGTAGATAGTTATATAGACCTTGTGAATATCATTTATAAAAAAAACTAGCATCATGAGAACTGACATGAAAGTCTATTTCTAATAGCATTTTTCACAGCTTCTCATATCATAATAATGCTGCTTGCTTCAGATCATATAGTCTCTGCATCAATTCACATATCAGATCATCACATCCCTCACAGAACCTGGCAAGTTGATGTATATATATATATTTATTGGTGAGAAGCTGGGCATTTAAGAATGCTGTAAAAATGTCAATCTGCAAAACATATTATTCTCAGAATACTGAGATTATCATAAATGCTCAGAAGATAGAGGCTGATACAACTGATGTGAATATCTTTAAATAGTTGATATTCTTTTCTTAATAATTACTGCAGACTACTCAGTGAGTTTTATATCATTCAATTCTACCTGTATTATTAATCTTTTTGTTAAATACTCATTAACTATGTAGAATCATCATATCTGAGATTTTTTTAACTAGCTACCATGCATCAATCTGCTTAAGGCAGTTAATCTTTTTAATATAGATATAAAAGTAATATTTTCAATCTGCAGATATTTGAGCCTGGGTGAGATTCTTTGAAACTGATAAGTCAGTGATCTCAGAGTCTGCAAAGACATCAGTCAAATTATCAGTGAAATTTCTCACTGAGGCCTCTCTTACTGAAGTAATATTCTCAGTGAGCATTGAAGAATCCTTCATCTCTAAAGCAGACTCTAAGAGAGTAGTAGTGTTTCACATCAAAAATGTCAGAATCTACATAGTAATCTCATAGTCTATTTATCAATTATTTATAGAGTGTAAAAATACTGAAGAAGCAGATAGAAACTTCCTGTTCATCATAAAATCATCTGTTGATAAATTATATTGAGTGAAAGAAATCACCACTGCAGTCACACAGGTGATGGAAGACAGGTTCTTGACACCTTGCTTAGACAGAGTTAGAGAATCTGCCAAATGAAGATCTTCTTGAAATATCACATCTTTTGATATATAAAGATGATCATTAGAAGGATCAACTAATCTATAATTAGTAAAGTCATCATAGCCTGTAAATATAAGCTCCTGTGATCATGAAGCCATCTTCATATTTGACTTAGGCACTATTTTTAAATAACTCTTCACTCTCATCAATAAATCCTGTGTGCAGAGAGCAGGGCCTTGAGTCAAGCTTCATATGAGATAACTGACTTTGAATCCAGATTCTCTACACCATTATAGAGCTTGATTAATGTTGACATAAAGTTAAGCATTTCAGTTATCACAATTACTACCTCACCTCATATCTGGAGAGAGGAGAAGGAATTTATTAATAATGTTAAAGCTTTTTTAATAATTAAGTCAACAGAATGTTTGAATATATCATCTTGCTGTGAAGTGTGAGGTGAGATTGATTCTCATTTAATACTCTCACTCATCATATAAGTAGTTGCAGTGTTTATATTTAACTCATCATAGTCAGAGTGAATAATCATAATATTATAATTAAGTAGATTCTTCATAAATTGATTGAAGATTCATATATATTTAAGAGTCTTATTGCAGCACTTCAATAGAAATGTTTACTACATTCATGTGGCATCATCAGTGATCATCATCACAAGCTTCTTATCTGTATAAGATGATGTATCTTCTTCATTACTAAGCATTTTTCCACCTTCAAATAGGTTTACTCAGATCTTAAGACCTTTGCAGATGGCATAGTGTAGTGAAGCATTTTTATAACTTGCATGTTTATGCTTAGCTTTAATATATGTGGTGCAAAATGAGAGCTTCTTTGAGTCAATGATGATGATTTCAAAACAGAGCTCCTGTGATATTTTAATTAAATTCTTCTCATCAATATAACTCAATTATCAGTATTATTTGTCAATTGATAGCTACTTCAGTATAATGGCAGATAGTTAGATTGATAAGAATATAATGAAAATATCAGTATTCAGATCCTTCAGATTAATTAACTGCTTCACATCATCATAATTGAAAAGACTCAGTGATGCAATATTCAGATCATAATCTGTTAAAATCATCTTGAGCTTCAAAACTATTAAGTATGCCAGTGATTCAACCTCCAGATCATTCATAATACCTTTAAACATAGAAGAGGTGTCAGATAGAACATATATATTATTGGAATTCAAATTTGCATAGAATATGTCATTTCCTGTAGATGCTATTATCTCAAAGTAATTTCCAGTGTGGACCTGCAGATCATAGTGAATATAGCCCTGGCACTTCAATAGGCCAGTAGATATGAGGTTGGCAGATAAGCCTGGCACTAAATAGATATGATTGAATTCAATTAATCTTTCCCCAACTGGGATAGAGGTAATCTCAATTCCTTGAACCTTTAAAATAGCCTTATTAGCTACTTGAATCATAGGGCTGCTAACTTCCATTATTTGAGAAAATCATAATTGATCACATACAATATGACATCTAGCCTCACTATCCCATATGATAAATAGATTGGCAATTAATTTGACAGAGTACATAGACACCTCAATGACCTGTACTAGATTTGCCATTTGAAATATCTCAGAGCTGTCATTTGCAGTTGACAGGGTCTTTTTGTCCTCACTACTCTTTTTATTATTATATTTCTCTATTCTTGCTGTATTGACAGTCCTTCATTCTTCAAGAGTGCTATCTGAATTGACTGCTCAGCAGAGCTCATCATGACAATACTTATATTCCAGGTAGATTAAGAGGTCAGAATTTGAATATCCACTCATTCAATAGTCTTCATGTCCCCTGGGTTAGTCCCCACAGGCTAAATTATTTTGAATATTACTACTATTATTGAAACCTACAGTTGCATTTTCAGCTTAAGTCATATTGGCTGAAGAATTAGCTTTTTGAGCAGCCTTCTTGACCTCTTTGGAGAAGTTTAATTGAGAGTATATTTCCTCCATAATTAAATGAACATCCAATGTGACAGACTTTGATTTGAACTCTTGTACCTCTTCAATTTTTTTTTTACACATAGTTTCACCATATATTAAGAAGTACAGAATAGAACATGTGAAATACCATGTTATTTAAAAGTAAAATATCAAGTATTTCTAATTTCATAATAATATTATTGAATTTATTGAAAAATGTATATACATTGATAACTTGAACATCACTCATTAATGTAAATACCAGGACTGCTTCCTTGCAGAGCTGTGTTCTCAGGATAAATAACACCTTCTCAACTGTATGTTAAAAAAAATAAGTAATTCTGCTCTTATCATATTTATTAAAACAAGATCTAATGCTGGCTGCTAACATGTTTGAAATAAATATGTAAAGCCAATGATTTTTGACCTCTCAAAAAGAAGCTTATTCAGAGTTCTCATCAGGGCTTTTGACTTGCTTATCCTCTAATATAACTTAGTATTAAGCATCAATTAGCTTAGCCTTTATATTTGCATATCAGGAGAGGTAATTCAAAGATTTAATTAGAGCATTCAGCTTAATGACATACTTAGTATTCTGTTTGAACTGGCTGATCACCTTGCTAATGCAGCTATCCAGGTCATAAAGATTATATTGCATTTGAGATCTCAAGTTCAGATCTCATACTGATGATTGACCCATCAGCAAATTTGTAGATATAATGATTCTGTCATTCTGAGCACAGAGCTTCTTCAATTGAAGTTGAAGCTGTAATTCTTTGCACCTCTTTTTTTAAAGTTTTAAATTATAAGGGGTTGAACCCCTAGATTTGCTCTGGCTGGCTGACTCAGCTTAGCCATCATTCGCATGTGCGCACATGATTATGCTATGCGAGCTTGCTTAAGCTTGAGTTCTCATCTCATTCTTTTCTTCCCTTTCTCAAGTAATTCATCCTTGTTATATAGGAGGACTAGCCTCTAGTTCTTAGAGCTTAACTCTTTACATTATGAATTGCTTCACTCCTTTCATTGATAGGCCACTGGGAGTCTTAATTCTATATCATGAAGCTCAGCAAATGTGCTGACATATGATAGACTATTAAAAGCCTTAAATCTTGCATCATGAAGTTCAGTGATAGCACTAGTATATGAATAGACTGGGTTAGCAATCATGCTAACAAATGAATGAGCAACATTGAAAACATCTAGTCAAATGAGATAAAGTGATAGACTTGTACAACAAATGAATTAACATGAAGCAATGAGCAGGGATGCTCTCAGCAGCTTCAAACAACAATGAATGGCCTTTCTTCAACAGCAGGAACAGGTTCAGTGTGAGAACAGAGATTTAATAGCAGCTCAGCAAGCTGAAATAGCTAATCTACAACAAGCTTTGAACATCTCAACATCAATTCTCTCTCAATTGAACCTGCAATCACTTATTGCAGTCAGAAGATCAAAGACCAAGCTATCAGACTGTGAGAAGTATGATGATTCTAATCTGAAGCACTACTCTCAGTGAGAGCTAAAGCTTCAATCAAAACTTAAGATTGATGAGAAAGCTTTAGAAAATAATGAGGAATGTGCTTGATATGTGTACTCAAGACTGAAAGAAATGGCAGCAGCTTGAGTTTACCTCTGAGTTGAGAATAATAAGAACAAGATCAACTTCACAGTAGAGAGCTTACTGAAGCAGACACACATACTCTTTAGTGATTCTGCATAACAGAAAAAGGCTATACAAAAGCTCAACAATCTATGACAGAGTAGAAGAGCTCTCTTTGACTTTCTGCCTGAATTTAATCAGCTACTGCTGGAAGCTGATGATCACAGATAGAATGATCACATTAAAAAGAAGTATTTAAAATCTGCTCTAAGCATGAAGCTGAGGAAAGGCATAATGAGTGTAAGAGAACCATCTCTCTATGAGAATTACTGCAGGGAGCTTAGATTAGTTGATCATCAACTCTCTGAGCTTAAGACTTTAAGATAGTGATCTAAACATTGTGAGAGCAGATCTTCTTCAGATCATATGACATCTAATTCACACTCTCTACTTCATCATGCTGTTCTTGACTGATGAAACTGGTCTCAAGCTTCCACTAATGATCTGATAGATCTCTCTCCTGGTGCTGTAATCCCAAGCACCTGCCACATCAAATTGATAAATCAGACAGAGGTTAATCAATGAAGAGAGCAAGGCCTGTGCCTGAGATGTGGAGCTGAAGATCATATAATTAAAAGCTATCTGTTCAAACCTTTCAGACACTCTGCCACCCCCACAATAGCTAAGATGATCCCTGAGCTGGTACTGAATGATGATGATATGAATATGAGTGAGGATTTGGGAAAAGAGTAGCTCCAACTAAAAGACATTGAAAGGAGTGAAATAAGAAGCTTATGAGAAAGCAATGAAGAAGATTTAAATTTAAGATGATATTCAAACCCTTCACTGTCAATGCTTTAGTAGATAATGCCTTTTCAACTAGAGCAATGATAGACAGTGAATGTAATGTCTATGATCTTATTTCTCAATTCTATGTTAATAAGCATAAGCTCCTATGCATTGAAATTCTCCCTGTTAAAATGACTGACTTTGAAGACTCCATGGAACTCTCTATGAGCATAGTGACTGACATTCAAATTGATATAGGCAGTCATGTAACTGAACAGGCCTTTCTCTACATAGTGAATGGGTTACATGGTTATGATATGTATCTAGATGACCCCTGACTGACTCAGCAAAAGATGACCATGATCCCTCATCAAAGAATTGTGAGATTTGAAGAGAGTGGCATGAAGATAAAGTCTAGTTCAAATGCAAAAGCTGATGTGATTCTCATCTCTGCTGTAAGCTTCTCTAGGCTTGCAAGCACTCAAGAGAAATGAAACATTGAGATTTTTACTGTCAGTTTGACTGACATTTAAAAGGCTCTAGAAGTGAAATTAAAGATTGACCCTAGAGAAAAGCTGCCTGAATATTATTATGAGTTTTTGAACATATTTGATAAGGAAGCTACCAACACTCTACCCCCACTTCATGGCCCAGGTAGAGATCATAGGATTGAACTGATTAAAAAGGCTGATGGTAGCACAGAACAACCCCCTTGGGGCTTATTATATAATATATTTTGAAAGGAACTACTGGCTTTGTGAAAGACTCTTACAGATTATCTAGATAAGGATTTTATTAGAGTAAGCAACTTCTCTGTGACCACCTCTGTTCTATTCATGAAGAAGTCTGAGAGTGAGCTAAGATTCTGTGTGAACTATTAAGCTCTTAACAAAATCATCTAAAAGGATTGATATCCTCTATCATTAATCAGTGAGACTCTACAGTGAATTGAATAGGCTAAATAATTCACTAAGCTGAACATTATTGCAGCTTTTCACAAAATTTGAATCACAGAAGGTGATGAGTGGATGACAGCCTTTAGAACCAGATATGAGCTATTTGAGTGGCTGATTACACCCTTTGGTTTGGTCAATGCTTCAAGCACATTTCAAAAATATATCAACTGGGCATTATATAGATATCTGAATGACTTCTGCTCAGTCTATTTAGATGACATCTTGATATTTTCCTCAAGAAGCTTACAGGAGCATTGTGAGCATGTACAAAAGATGCTTATATGTCTATAATAAACAGGCCTGCAGGCAGACATCAGAAAGAGTGAGTTTGAGATGAACAGCACAAAATATCTTGAATTTATCATTGAAGCAGGCAAGAATATATGAATAGATTCAGAGAAGATTAAAGCTGTTTTGAAATGAGCAACACCTACTACTCTTAAAGGTGTATGAGGATTTTTAGACTTTGTCAATTTCTATAGATGATTTATCAGAGATTTCTCAAAGATTATGATCTCACTGATAATTCTTACATGCAAGAATGTTCCTTTTTTGTGGATGAGCAAGGCTGAGGAAGCTTTTAAGTGTCTAAAATCAATGTTTATCTCTGCTTCAATCCTGCTTCAATTTGACTCTGACTGTAAGACTATATTGGAAATGAACTTCTCAGATTACATCTCAGAAGAAGTGCTGCTACAATATGATGAGCAGAGCATTCTATGCTCATGTGCCTTCTTCTCTTGCAAGTATTCACCTGCAGAATGCAACTATGAGATTCATGATAAGAAGTTATTAGTGATAATTGAGTGTTTAAAGAAATAGAATGCTGAGCTACAAAGTGTAAAGGAATTCAAGATTCTCACAGATCATAAGAATCTAGAATACTTCATGACTACACACAGACTAAATAAAAGACAGCTACATTGAATAAATATTCTCTATCAATTCAACTTCAGAATTGATTACCAGTCAGAGAAGTTGAATACTGAACCAGATACTCTATCATGAAGAGAGCAGAACATGCCACAGAGCACTGATGATGAGAGAATCAAGCAGAGACAAGCTCAACTACTTAAGTTTAATGTACTAACATCTGAAATGAAATCAATAGTGGCTGCTGCCAGTGTGAAATCTAAGATGTCTCTTCAAGCTCAGTGAAATGAAAC